CTACCCTTAAATAGAAGATATAAATTCATTTAAGCAATGTCCTGGATAATACATTTATTTTTTTCATTTATTTATTCTCTCCATTTTTAGCCTGCCCATAAAGCTTTCAGTCCACAGACAAGTTGGAGTCAGATATATAAATGTGGTTGTAATCAGCTCTGTAGCTGTACCTCCAGAGTCATGCTCTGACAGGTTGTTTTGTCAAGTGGTTAGACTTCCACAATAATATCCTTCAGTCAGAGCTCCCTTAAAGTCAAGAACAGATATTAAGTGTTTTCTTGAGACCTAAATAAGCTTATCAGAAACCTTATTCATCACTGGAGTATATATTAATGTACACATTACTCAGGAAATGAAGAAATCCTGTATATGTGATGCATTTTTGTTACTGACAGATGATGACAAAAGATTTCAGGTTCATTCAGTGTTCAGGATACCAAGAATTTGTCATATCTGCTTAAAGGATTAAATTTTAGCACCACATCAAATACTGTTTTACTGGGGTCAGATAATTTGGCTCCATAAGCCACCTTAAAATTATTAAATGCTTCCCTTCATCTCATGCCACTTCACTCTCCAAACTCCATCTGTCCTGAATGACAATCCACCCACTGAACATGGAAAATCAAAGATCTTCTTTCCCATTCATACTGAAATTCCCATTCAGTCTCTCAATGCACTAGATATTAGTCTACTGTAATAACCACATACATCAAATAATACGTTATTTTTCTACATTTCAGTACTTCTTATAAATATTTTATTTCTACTTCTCCAACCTAATTTGCAATTCACATATATTTCCTCATAATTCTGTCATATTTCCTTTTTATAGCCATAAACCGTATTTCTATTTTATCATTTCCTTTTAACTACCTTGGAAGACCTTTCTATATTTCAATTACCTGCAGACTTCCAGTCCTGCAGCATAGTCTTAAAATCAAAACTGGAGTATTGATGCACTCCTCTGCATATTAATTCTGATTATTATTAGAATACTATTGGAATATAGGTATGCTGGAACTTTCTGAAGCTTCCTTGACACATCAAGGCTCTCATCTTTCATCTAGTGAAGTCAATGACTGATCAAAAGCCAGACTGAGCCCACTGTAAGCACATTCAGTGTAATGAAAAAGATACTTGCAGTCCTTTTTCCTGAAACTGTTTTGGTGTAAATGTATATTTGCCCTATATACATCCTGCTATTAATCTGAGAAAGCTACCACAGTATGTGCTCTACTGTCCTTTTCCAATTTCCATTATTCCACATGATTGTGCTATTTGACAAGGAAGAAGCGTCTTAGGAAGTCATAATAACCTGCAATTTTTTTATGCCTCTTCTGTTTCTCCTAGTACTGCTAGCAACAATGTGCAAACCTTTGTACAACTGCAATTCCCCCAGTGAGAACTATTTCTGTGTTTGAAATATGGGAAAAAAGTGATCTTCAACCAATTAGATCAGGTTATACAATACAGATGTGGAACTTCATGTATCTGAAAAATTTGTGTTTCCAAAAATTATGAAGTGGTTGAACTTTACAGAACTAAAATCTTGGTAGAACTATGACCGACAAATTTCTAAGTAGCTCCTTATTTCTTTTTAGAGAAAAATGATTACTGTTGACATATTAATTATCATAATAAAAAAAATTCAGTTCTATCCCGAAAGGACTTCAAGTCCTGGACTGAAACAGACTACACAACCCAGATATGCAGCAGTAAGAAATAAAATAATCCAGCAATTAAGAAAGTACTAGAAAACAAGATTAATTCAATTTCCTTAAAGGTAAGTAATATTTTCCAAACAATTTAGACTGGGTTATTTAGAGAAAATTATATAGCTGATTTGTTACATCTAGAAAACATAATTGGATTTGACTGCAGAACAGCAATGGCTTCTGATTGATGACCTATCTAATTTAATTTGTAAATCTATTTTTGCTTTGCCTTTTTAAAGGATAATTAATAAACATAAAAAGCCACGTGTGCAAGTACAACTTATACAGAAGCTATGTACGCTATGTAAACCTGAAACAAAAGAAATTATACTATAGTTTTTATGGGTCTCAGAAGAAGGGTCAGAGTTAAAATCATGTTTAAATAAAGAACATTATAGAAAAGTGAAGGAATTACATAGATCAAAAGAACTTGTAGGAGACAACATGAGAGTTAAATTACTATCTCTTTTCCTTTGAAATCATAGAGAGAGAAATAACCTTTCCAAAAAGCAAAATAGTTGCAAAATTTGGATAGAAAAGTATGAGTTGAATGGGAAAAAAAGAAAATTTCTGGTAGTGTGCATTTAGCCTTAACTAAGAAAGACACCTCAGAAGACAAAGTAGTAAAAACCTCATTTACATTGTCAAGAAAGAGTAGTTGCATTTTGACTAAAACTAGGTGAGTTCCAGGTTCCTTCATCCTTCTTATACAGCTGCTAACTATGAGTATGCTTTAAGAAAAAAAGAAAAAAAAAACCCCAAACTATACTAACAGAGCCATCCAGAGAAGGTTTTTACTTAACTTTATTTCACAGCGTTGTCTCAGGAAAATGTACACTGACCTAAGGGATTCTTAATCTTTCTCAAAAGGCTCTGACAGGATAAAGCTGCCAGATGTGTGCTTGTACTCTCGTGAACAAGGTTCTTGTAACAGTTCTGTTACAAGAGTATCTTACAGAGATCACATTCCAGTTATAAGAAAAATTAAATAAAAGCAAAGGGAAGAAAATTTTGAACAAAGATTTAAATAAGAGAAGTAAAAACCAAACAGATGCTCTTGTTCTATATGTGCAGAGAGACAGAAGAAGAACCTGTGATGCTATAGATGCTTGGAACAGCAGGGTGAACACAAAAAAAGTGGAGAAAGGTTTAACCATGTGCAGAAAGGAATCTGTGAGCCCACCAGAAAATGAGCTTCTTGTTACTACTTGTTTCCCCAGTTCTTTAACAATATGTTCACTTCATCAAGCCTTTCTCTTTCCTTCCTCTAAAGCTCCATGATACACATTCAACTTGTTGGCAGGAGGCATCTCTGTGCAAAAGGACAATAGACAGCTGCAATTCTAACAGCTCTCTCTAACACAAAATTTGAATCCTTTTTCTTCTTTCCTTGAGTAATAAAGCAGAAAAGAGCTTATGCAGTTAAAAGAAAAAGCAGAACTAGCAATTGTGAGGAAGTATAAGAAGTTAAACTAAAACAGCCAATTGCCTAATTTTAAAGTGAGAGACTCTTATTATACAAATATATAACTGCAATATCTCTAAATCAAAAAGTACTACTTCTGATACTATATTTTTCTTATATGGGAAATAAATTGATATCTGGATTACTACCCTGTTTCTACTACGCCTTTCTGCTTGGAATAGGCTGCCTACATAAAAAATTACAAGTAAAAATATTACCAAAAATAATCAGTGAGAAGCTGTCAACTTAATCTTTCAGTTTTTATTAATCAAGAGTTTCTTAGACTGACTTATGATAGACTGCTTTTAAAAGCTGAGCATTAAAAAGCATTCTTCTGAATGAAGGAAAAATAATATACAAAAAATCCCACGTTGCCATGGTAGTTTACAAGCACCCATAATCATACTTTGAAAATTAATTACCAAAATAAATAATTTATTGGACATATTCACAGTGAAGTGCTTTCAAAGAGACCCTATTGATTGCTACAGAAGAAAAGAAAATAATTTTATTGTAGTACTACCCTTAAAAAAATACATGTGAGAGTTTTATCTCCAAATATACACATCTCATTTTCCCTTTTTTATATTCAACTTTTGTTTTATTTCTTCTTCCATAATTCCCTTCCTATATTCACCCCAAGGCACCATGATAATAAAAAACAGAAGCTTGAGAAAAATAAACTAAAGAAAAAAATTCTGGTTGATGTTTGACATTATGATTTCCTGCCAGGTTTCATCAGTCATATCATGCCATGTGAAGTAATACAGTCTGATTGATGTTGCTCACAGGGACTCATCACCTTTCATGTGTTTGCTGAAGAATTTAAAGGTATCACACAATCTTTGGACAAAATTAATTCTTATGGTGCCAAATATTTGATTAAAAAATAACGATCATGACATCAAAAACTTATGATTGCATTTCTCGCTGGCGGGGAATCTAATTCTTAGCACCATTTATAAGTCATTTTATTTTTTAACTTATGATAGATACTTTGAAATCTCCTGTGTCAATTGTACATTTAAAATTAATTTTCTCAGCATTTAGTATTATGACTAAGTTTGAGCCTTAGCAGGATTCACCATGATTCTTTTTTCCCACGTTATGCACAATGGGGTCCTGCTCTCCTGCAGACTGCTGAATACCTCACTGCCTATGGAAAGCAGTGAATTAATTCCTTGTTTTGCTTTGCTTGTGTGTGTGGCTTTTGCTTTGCCTAATGAACTGTCTTTATCTACACCCATTAGGTTTTTTTTTAATTTTCATCCTTCCAATTTTCTCCCCCACCCGCACTGGTGGAGGAGTGAGTGCAAGCCTTAGTTGCTGGCTGTGTTGAAACCGTAACTTGTATTTCATTACAAACTAATATACCCAAGTCAAGGCAAGGCTTTTCAGCTGAGCCACATGAAATCTTAATTCATATGGAAGTTAGATTTGATGCTATGTATACAGAAAAAATAAAGGCTACCATATATATAATATTTTTTATCATTTTGAAGGAGCATTACCTAAACAAGTGGCACACACACAACAAAACAATTCTTAATGGTAACATATGAAAGCCAAAACACAGTAGGAAGTGTGATTTGTACCACAGTTGATCCTGCAGAGTTTAAATTTAAATCTACCTTTAGAGGAATTGATATTTAGATTATACAGTATCTTTTGATTGGTCAAACAATCTCTGATAATGAGAAGACGTTTTCTTCTCCAGTGGACTGAAATTTTGTAAAAGATTGATAGTTTAATTACTACTAAAGGTAATAAAAAAAAATATGTGTTTACATGCATTCTGAATCTTTATTATTACATACCTGTTACTTTCAGTCTGTCAGCTCCAATGACAATCTCATCTTCATCTGCAGAAAACAATACTCTTCCACTGTCACTTGCTCTCACTTCAAATCTCTTACATTGAGCTTCCACAGCATCAGCTCCTGAAATCAAGGAAGTTATCATTACCTCTAATATATTTTGTAAGAATTAATAATCGGCATAAATTGAATATCCAAAACATATTGAATACATGATGCTTTATGAAAATATTTGGCTTTCTGTAAGCCTGAGAGATAATTTGCATTATAAAATACTGTTAAAATAGTTTACAGACATAACTATGAAAAACATCTATTTCAGCATTATGAGGAAATCAACACTAAAATTTAGAATGTACTTCAACACTGAGATCTTGAAATGCCAATTCAGACAGAGCTTTCTGGGATTTGTTCAGTTTAAACCACAGTTTCTTGCCAATGAACAAATAAAGATAACACATGACCCTATTCCATCAAGACATACAAATCAACACAGCAGAAAATGGTATTTTTCATTCAGTTCTCCTGCAAACTTAGGGAATACAATAACAAAAACAGCACAAAAAACACCAAAACAAAAAAAAAACCATGGACTAAGGTATCAAAATTTATGTCACATTTTATGAAACAATATTCCCAAATGTCTCAAAGCTCAAAAAATCCTAAAATAATTCTGGAATTGAACAGACATATGGATTGATCTAACTGCAATGAAGAAAGTTTGCAGGTACTAAGACTTGTAAATTTACTATGCTTTTCAATTTATGGGTCTTATTCTTACTCTCCAATGTTTTGTGTGCTAAATTGTTTCTGAAAATTTTATTTTATTAGTAAGTGAAAGCAAACATCATTTCTGAAAATGGTGTTGAAAAGCAACCAACTGCAATGGCACGACATGACATAAGGCAAGATACAGTATTTCAGGGAATAACAATCTGAATTTTTCTGTATGATCCCGAATTAAACTTGTAATGCATTCCTGGAATAAATCTATATGTGTAAAAATTATGTGGAGGGCATTATGGACAAATAAATTTATATATGTATTTCATTTTTACAATCTGGTTTAAAAGTTTGTAAAAATCTCCTGCTCCATAATATGTAAGTTTTTAATTTAATATGCAAATGCATCAAAATATGTAATAAGGAATATAAAAACTGTGATAATGAATTTTGGTCAAGGAATTGCCTTAGCAGCTCATAATTTGCAGAATCAGCTATGGGATCAAAACAATTCCTCTTACTTCCAGACAAAGTTATGTTTGTACTGTAAAAAAAATTCTGGCTATTTTTGATTCACAAAGAAAAAAGAAAATGAAAAAGAATTATCAAAATACTTGTGATGATGCATTTTGTTGAATTTAGATATGTTTATTCTGTAAATGTGTAAAATGGTATTTTTTCCCACTCTCCACCCCCACTGAAGTTTTTTTAAAATGTGTTAATCAAGTTGCTGGCTTTGATTTTGAAAAAATACAAAATCTTTGTGAAAACAGGAGCAGATTTCAGATGCAGAGGTTTGGGGATGCCCTTGTCCTGCCACCATACTTATGGTTCAGGAAGCCAAAGGATAATTACAAATAACTTAATACTAAATAGTTTCATCTTTATTTAAGAGCTGATGATAGCTTAGTCACCTAAAAGAAAGTGGCATTATAAGTACTGTGACATTACTAATTTACACCCATCAAAGTTGTTAGCTCTGTAAGGAAAAGAAATTAACAAAAAATGTGTCAGAAATCAAAAAGAGAAAAGACCTGCCACATTCTTAGTCATTATATATCACTCTAAGTGACAGCCCATGTTTCAATAACGGCTTTTAAAGACTTGTGATGTATTTAGGATAATACAGGTTTTCATTAAAATTACTTAAATAACAAAGGTCTGGAACTTTTGACTAAGGAATGTGTATATTTTAGATGCTGTTTGTGCTGTTTCAGAATCATATTGCATAAAAGTACTCCTAGAATTCAGCTAGTCCAAAACACCATTACAGGAAGTAAATAAATTTTAATGCTAAAATAAATGGGCTTTTACTTCATGTTTTACACAGGACTTAATAATGTATTACTTGGTATTACTTATTGCTGAAATGGAAGTTAGTGTGTTCAAGGCACTTGAGAGATTACTAAAAAACATAATACATGCTACATCTGTCTCTTTGACATAGAACCAGGTGTGGATGTTATAAAACTGGTTTCGAAAAGCTGAACTGCCTACAGAGTACTCAGTGCTATCAAAATGGAATTCTGTTTAGTTTCATTTTCATTTCCCAGTTGAAATAGGAGCAAGCAGTTGCATTTGCAATGTATTAGGGTATTATCTTAGCTGTAAAGCAAATTGCTGTGTTCCAAAAACACTCTACCAACACACACGTCTCATAAAATGTTTGAATCTTTAATAGTACTACTAATAAAAACAATGTCAAGTCTTAGAATATTATGCATGAACAAAGAAAGTATTTTGAAATTCTAATATCACATTTGTAGAGCCATCACTATTTTCAGCAAATCATATCTGCTTGAATAATGCATACTTCAGTCCAGAGAATCGTGTATGAAAATCTATTTTCTAAATTCTGTTTGGAAAGGTAATTTTTATCAAACACATGGCTACCAGAAAAGCTATTTAGCTTTGCTACTTCTTACTGTATTGTTCTACTTCATCCTAGACTGGAGCTGGCCACATAACAGCTTTAATCAGGTTCAAGAGATGTCCATGATGAACTCTTTTCTCATCTTGTGCTCAGGAAAACTATTTACTTGTAAATTCAGAGATATAATTCTCAATTAAAGTATTAAGTTTCTGTGAAATTCCTTCATTTAAAGTACATAAGTGAAAAATATATATCATATTCATATATACATGGTATGTAATGATGGTTTACAACACATGCTTGGTGCACAGCAGCTGTATAATTGAAACTATCATTAAACCAGCTACATTTAAAATGGTACAAAACCTAAAATTGTACACTTTAACTGTAGTGAAGATGCATTAAATGAAAATATTGGGCAGTACATGCTGTAAAAATACAGAAAATTATGGTTCTGTAATCCAGATTAACAGTAATAGAGATTAAATTTCAAAATAAAACCTGTTTTGAATTTGTAGAGAGTTTGACTTACTAATTAAGTAATATAATAACAATATGAAGAATGCATGTTCTAACATTTTGCATTTTAAAGTGAATGATTACTTACAGTACTTCATTATTATTATGCAGAAATAATAATTAGAACCATTATTGCTGTGATAATAAATAGAAATAAGAACTCTCCAGTATTACAAGGTTTAGATATGATTACAAACACTAGCAGCTGTGTCTGATTTATCAATCATCTTCCATGTCCACCTGGCACACAACTAATTCAGACATAGAAAAAGATAAAAAATCAACAACCTTAAATTAAATATAGGGATTAGAATTCAGATGGAATTACCACAAATTGATCCTTGTAAATAGGAAACATGATAAAGTCCAATATACTTTCTTCTGGTTCTTCAATGAAAAATGGGTTATTTAAACATTTATTAAATGCAGAGTTTTATGCAGAGTCTGGATGACAAAGTTACTTTTATGAGAATGTGTCGATGCTTCTGAGATTGGAGATTAAAGAGATAAAGAATTTTTAATAAAGATTCAACATTCATCTGGGTCTAAGATCAATTTTTGAGAAGTATACACCTAGGTAATTTTTTTTAATATTCATAGGAATGTTTGCTATTATGGTATTTTAGCTAGCAGGCATCTTAAAAAAATTTCAGTGAACGCAAGAGCAACTGTGCAAATAAAGGATTCATAACCAGCTGAACAGAACAGAAGCCTTGAGGAATTTGGAAAAGAAAAAGAGAACTTTCAGCTGAGAGCAAAACTTCTACACAAGCAATTCACAACAATCAGAACATTTTCTGTGTCCAGTTTGCTGAGGACGGGAAGGGAACATCTACATTATAACCAAAAAGTTGAAAGTAGAAGGTAAAAGACCCCTTGGTTCGCTCTGTCAGTAGTTGGTGGACATGCTGTAGAGATGTCAGAAAGCTACTGTTTCTAGGAGAGGTTGATCTTCAAGGTTTCCTATTCTGAATGATTATCTACTCAGACAAGGGAAGCTGCAGCAAAGGCTGGGTGAGAAGAAACAAAGCACACATTTGTTACCTTTTATGGAAGTGAACAATATCAGCTGTCAACATAAATTATTAGCATAGGAATAAGGCCACATTATAAGAGGAAACTCAGTAGAACCATCCGGATCAGGCAGGACACTTCCTTCATCATTACCTGCAGACCCAGTAATATCCATGAAAGATTAGTGATATTACAGGTATAGGACTTTGTCAAATGACATCTGACTGAAAAGTTCTGCCCTCCCAAGCAGATTTTACTTCTAGGAACTTTGTAGAATCATAGAATCATCACTGTTGTAAAAGACCTCTAAGTTCATTGAGTCCAACATTAGCCCGGCACTGTCAAGTCCACTGTTGATATGGTATATCAGTTTCACTGAAAAACACATCTGAAATATTGTCTGTCACCTCTGCAATAGATAGAATTCATCCTTCCTGCAGTCTGTCTTTCTGGTGCATCTTGACAGTGGAACCCCAACTGTGAAAACAGTATGTGGGAGTAGCATAGCCACAGCAGCAGACAACACTCTCCATCCTCCTTTCTAGATGAGGCCACAACTACTCAAGAGCAATTCTGTGCTTTTCTGCCTACTATCCCTAACATATGGTAATTTCCATGAGACTCAGAAATTACATGGCTGAACAGACCTTTGGTCTGATCAGATACAGCTGTTCATAATTTCATGAGCTATAAGCTATACTCATGGGGAATGAAAGCAAAATGTGATTCTTTGCTTCTTGAAAGTTGCTTGAGCTTTAAGTCAATACATTTATTTTGCTTCTGTAATGGTTAAAAGGATGTGCATTGTCTAATTTTAGCTGTATTATCTTAATTGCTTATATGGGTCCTTAGATAAGCAAGACACAGGAAGATATGTCAGGCACCAAAATTTATCTGTAGGACTTCACACTGTATTTTTTGCTGTTTTTATAATCCCATTAAGGTTAATATTCTCAAAACATGATCTAGATTCTTGAACTGAGTCTTGTAGCAA